GCTGTTATTGTCGCTGGGGCGGACGCCAATAAATTCATGCCGCAACCCCCTCGCAACAATAAATTTTCGCCTTTGTCTCATAAACCGAAATACCGCAAATCTCAGCCGGGCCAACAGCTAACAGCTAAGAGCCAACAGCCAACAACCCAAAGACCAAGACCACAAGACAACTTTTGGCCTCGCCGCTCGCTGGGTGCGGCCCAACAACAATTTGTAAATAAAATTGTGGCGCAAATTAAGCGTATAAATAAGCCACGAACATCGCCCAACGCACGTGGTCATAGAAGTGGGCGTGGGGGAGGCGCACATCCGGTGGCCCAGTGGTTGCCCCGATTCCAGGATTTCCTGCGACAAGGCCTCGCTCATCATCGGCATCATTTCTGTTTTTTGGTCTGCCCCATTGCCATGGCATTTTAATAGACGCCCCCGCCTCCGGAATCTTGGAACTTTGGGCTTTGCCAATTGATGTGGCCACCGTTCTGTGACTCCAATGGGCCTAGAAATGGACCCTGGAGTGCACTGAGAACTACATATTATGGTAGGGGACTATATATTTCATTCAAACTTCAAACCATTAAGAAGAGATTTCAAGAATAGTTTTAGCTTAATGATATTTCTTTCCTTTCGTTATGCTTGGTTATGGAATAAGAAAACATATTTTCTCCCTGTGCACATTTTAGGGGCGGGACTTGGGTTCCGGCAAGGTCGCAGCGCTTGTCGTTATTAATTTATTATGAAAATCTAAACGACTTAAGTGGAATAATATGGGATAAATTATTAAAATTTATGTGCTTTCGAAGCAGCCATTCAACGATGTCGTCTAGTTTTGGCCGCCATCCGGCGGAGCAACTGGAGTGGAGACGGAGACAGCGAGCGCCATTTGAAAGGCAGCCAAAGTTTTTGGGCATACTTCACTTTAATTTCTTTTGGCTGACGCGTCGTCGCAGGAGCTCCAGAACACTAGAACACCAGAACAGCAGAACACCAGTGGGAAAAGATGGCCCAGGAAGTGGAAGTTGAGTGATTAAGTGGGCCGCTTTTTGCACTTATGCTTTTTGCATAATTTGTCAGCCTAATTTTGGTCAGAGTGAGGAGAGAGAGGAAGAGGAGAAAGATTCCCTAAGAGGCTGCAGAACCTGAGCGGACTCGTAAAAGTTGACTCACAAGTCGCAAGTTTTAATTAAAGGAGCCCGAAGAGATTTAGTGTCACTTTCGAAGCTGAAATTTGTTGCTGCTACAAGGATTTTTATGTCCGCCAAGCTGCAGACTGTCAACTGTGTGTCTGGCTGTTAAAATTTCGATTCGTTTTATTGAAATTAATCGAATAATGGCCAGATGCCAGCCAGGGAATCGAAGAGGGACGAGGGTCCGTATCCGGATACGGGACTGTGACTGCGACTGCGACTTCGTGAGTTTTATGGCGCACTTGTTTCGCGTTAATCGCAAATCGTAAACTAAGCATTTTTACGGCACCTGCGGTAATGGATTACTAAAGCAGGGCTCCGCCATACGCACCCCGCAATCGTCATTGGTTGGAAAATTAATAAAGTTAAGTGTCGAGCACAATAAAAGTGGAATTTCAAAGCGGATGAAGCCCTAACGGCCTGAAAGCCCAAAGAGGCAGGCCAACAATTTAGCGAGGCGTGAAACGCTTGCCCGGCGGCAATGTCAAGCACATGGGACTGGGATTATGGCTTTGGTTTGCAATAATTGCAAAAGTGCAATAAATTTCTTTTATTTCTGGGTTTAAACTCAAAGTTGAAGGCAATAAAGACTGGCTAGGCCGTAGGTGGGGGTCAGATGTAGTGTTTTTCAGCCCCACTTCGTTGCACAGCCGACCATTTCAGCGACTCTTAGAGAGACACACGGGGAATCCTCACCGAAAGAAATAGATTGCAGAGGCTTGATTTAAAAAACAATCTCCTAACAGTTAGTTAAGCTATGTCAGCCGTTTGTTCCCATGAATCTGCGATGATCTGTGACTTGCAAACGGGACGTATGCGTAATTTTACTGATTGCCGGCTGGAATGGCACTGAGTGCTGATGGTGCCACCTTCTGATTGGGATTTATGGCACGTCCTCGTCTCCCTGGCATTGCCATTGTGTTTTTGGCGGGGTTTGGGCTTTGCAGACACATTAGCGGGCCAGAACGCCATATCAATGACCTCACACGTGCTCCTTCCGCTGTCAATTACCGGGTCCTGCCGGGTCCTGCGTCCTCCGTCCTGGCCAAACACCCCGCGACATGGACACGGACACGGACATGGACATGGATATGGAGCTGAGAAATTAAATAAGTAAAACAGGGGCGGTCTCTCTCACTTGCACTGCCCGGCAATAAAAACTGACGGCAATAAAAAACTTTCACCCCCTTGAAAAACACCCGCCCAGCTCACTTACACCATGACTGACAGTGCGTGCGAGTGTGTACGAGACTTAACACGCAGTCGATGGGCGCATTTCCGGCGTAAAAATCTCCTCTGCTCTACTCCCTTTCCCTTCCCCATCCCCTTGCAAGTTGCGTGCTCTGGCCGAATGGCCATTCCGCCACTCGGACTTTCGGCGAGCGATGCATAAATCACACAATAAAACCCATAAATTCCGAATGCAGCGAGAAGTTGGAAGAATAGCGGGGAAAACTTGAACGCAAACTGCATCTCGGAGGAGAAGGCGGAACCAAGAAATGGTCAGCTTTTCCACGGCTGATCAGTCGAAAGTTGGTCAAATAAAGCGTTCCAAACTGGGCTAAAGCATTCATTAAACCGGCTATAAAATCGATAAAGTACAGTAAAACTTGATTCGGATCATCATGAATATGTAATTGGGATATAAATGGACAAATTGCAAAACAGCTTCTATGAGGCAGCTACCTGAGCAAACCCAAATGGGGGAAACTTAAAGTTTCATCTGCAATTATCACGACGGTCCCCTAACAACAAAGGCAGCTGGACTTGACTATGCATTGCATACATTTCATTTGATTTAGTTGTCCTCGTCACCAGTGAAGTATTTCCTCCTCCTCCAGGTGGTGCACGCTGTAGCCAAAGAGCTGGTGTCCCTGCCACTAAACACATTGTGCGCAAATCCCAGGCCAAATCCCAGACGTGCTATTCCGCCTGCTGGGCTGCATGGAAATGGATGCGAATGAGGATGCACAGGGAAAAACATCTTCTTATTATTTATCCTGATTAAATATATATAGCATTGAGTTTCTCTCAGTGTTGGTATTGCATTGGCTTCCGAACTGCATTGACAGCATTTTAGAGTGGGTCACTCGCCAGCGCCTTCGGGGCAGCAGGTGGGCGTGGTGCCATTTTAGTGGCATGTTTGTGCTAATTTATTACGCCTGCGAAGCATAAGGCCACCTGCACCTGCCCCACCCCTTCCACGTACCCGTTCAACTTGGTGCCGATGGGAAGCGAAGGCCTCTGCCACATTACAAATCGGCAAACAGAGACACACGGCAAGGGATAACGACTGAGGAGACGTAGGGAGCCAGATATAGAGGCCTCGGGGAATGCTGCAAATGAATGTCTAATTAATTAAAGTGCGAACTGCACTTTGCTCATTGTTGGGCTCCTCGATTTGGCAGCGGGCATTAATTGCCGGGTACATCGCAGTAAACATGTTCAGCGCCTGTCCTTCAGCCTCCAATTGCGCCAGCCACCCAGCCACCTACACCCAAATAATTTGTTTGATTTATTGAAATGGCTGCTGGGTCGACCATCTCTCGGGCCTTCCTCTCAAAAATGGACAAATTTTCTATGCACACACATGAAATGCAATTTTATATGGCGCGCCGAAACTTTTAGCCCAAAATAATATCATTTTCCTGCGGGAACTGCACTGAAAACAATTTCAAGTGATTTACAAAACTTTTATCTATACTATTTGATTTTCAGATTAAGCTAAAGAAGTGATTTCTGTTTAGATTTTAGTAACTGTTTGATTTTTTTTTAATATTTATCTAGTTGATTTCTAGAACTATTACCACTAAGTTCTCTCAGTGTCTTCTATGTTTTTTCTATTCCAGCGCCTCTGCAGCGCTGATGCTAGTCCCAATTCCCCATCTGCACCCTTTCACCCCCCTGCACTCTAGGTCTATGCGCACAAAGCTTAGCGGGACATAAATAATAAATTTGCAACGTTTGCATTTCACCAACACATGTGTGTCTCCCCGGCTAGACCTGCATGTGTGTTGGCCTCTGCATGGGGACATTAACAATTTATCAGTGAATCGAAAAAGCAACAAGCCAATAAAAATCACTCCGTTTGACCGGTGACATTGCCACGGCCATTCCATTCCATTCTGCCCCATCTGACTTTTCGATCTGCCTCCTTTCCAATGTGGCTGATTTTGGGCCTTTGCCCGGCCGCCCAACGAAACAAATGGCAAAGAACACTGCAATTTAAATGCTTAAAGGTCACGGACCAAAGCTCTAATGATTTAGAATCTAACCATTTAATATCAAATAATAAGTTGAGCATATAGAAACTAGCCATCCATCTTATAAGCTTCTCGAAATCTCTGGTTACCTTGACAACCAAATACAAAAAATTAATTACTTAACAAATACAACCTATTTATACCATAAAAATGCTTGAGGTGCTTTAGAAAATTTTGGAAATATTTAGACTTTTCGATCGGATGCCCTGAAAATGGTTTTCTACAGTATTCATATAGATGTAAGTAATATAAAATATATGACAGCTCCCTCTATTGCATATAAAAGGTTGGTGCATTGGCTATATAATAAGGGTTGTGTCCGCGCTATGTGCAAGAAATTCTACAACAGATGTCGTCTTGGTTCTAAGGCCAATACAATAACCATTGGTTACAAGGCCTAAGAGTAAAATTATTTTTATATAATTTATGGGCCTCCTCTTAAGTACTTTATAATTTCAATCACATAATAATATTTCTTTAATAATAATATAAAGCCAACAGTTTTCTTACCCAAAAACAAACAAGAAAGGCTTATGGGTTTTATCAAGATGGATTTGTGTACAAGAATGACCATTCTTTAACTTTAATGTACAGAATAACATGCGCTACGAACTACCGAAATATACAATACACCATATACAACAGATAAATCCGGGGGCGTCTTCAACAGATTGCTTGATAACAATTACAATGCTACAGTGTCCTCCTTAAAGGAGTCTGAATATGTCGCCACCGAGTTAAACTTGTCTCCTTAATCACTCCGATAATCCAAGGGTAATACTAAAAAAATAACTGGGAGGGCTTCAGAAGGAAGGAGGGTGTGCGGTTTAAACGAAAATTGCATTTATTTTGGCATGACAAATGTAGACGTATAAAATTAAACTAAACATGTACTAAATTAAAATGTAATAATCACAAATACGCGTAGCTAACACAAATCCGATTGCTTCCCACCGTAATAATAGTAATTGCTTTATATCACCAGTTGGCCAGGTCCCCTCCCTCCTCACATTCGTCTGTCTGCCTCCCCTGTCCGGGAAATGGAAAAGCCCCAACCCGGACTGCACCGCTTTCTATCACAAGGGAATGGTTACCGTTTCGTGTTCGTTTCCGCTTCCGCTCTCCACACTGCCCTAACCTCCTCTGAGTGCACACCGGATCCTTTCTGGGTTCGAAACTGATTGCCAAAGAAGAGTAGAGAAAGGTGGTCTCTTTTCTCGCAGAAAGAAAGTTTGAGAGTACAACTTAGGGACGGAGTAAAGAACGTTGGGAGAAAGTCGCATCCTGAATTCTGCTCTGAAGGATCTTGTCTACAATTTGTTATGTTTTCAACCTACTTAAGTTCAGACTCTTTTCTGCTTGGTCACAAGAATTATACCTCGATTAAGTGTGAGTAAGTGGGGCTCTACGTGGGTATTCCTATTTATATATAGTTCTATGTAAATTCCTTCTGATTGGTTTGCAGAACAGCTACTGTATGGGTGTATATATATCCATGGGTATATATTTAGAATCGTCTGCTGGATACCTATGCGATGAGTTTGCTTCTTTCTGTCTGTTTCTGTCTGTATAAACGTACAAAGCCCGACGGGAGAAGTTAAAGAATGCGGTAAAGCTACGCCTAGCTACAATCCTGCTCCCTCTGGGTCCCACTCTCCTTTCGAACTAGCCCCAACCCTCTCTATGTACAGGTGATCTCTAACATATGGTGATAATGATAACCCTAGACTATGAACAAATCCCACGGACCGTCCGCTTAGCGGATCATGTGCAATTTCCATCGCAGCACGAAGTAGGCGATGATGCGCAGGGCGAAGAAGATTCCGATGAGGGCAACGGCGTCCACCCAGAACAGGGCATTATCCATGGACATCTCTTCGAGGAACTTCTTGGGCACTCGATAATGGCAGTACATTTGGTTGCACTGCATCTTGGCCCTATCCATTCCATAGATGGCCACCATTGCACCTGAACGAACAACCATCATGTGAGACTAGCGAAGGATATGATTGAGAGATCCAAACTCACCTTCGAAACCATACCGCACATAGCTGACGTATGTGACCCATTGTAGGTAGCCCGGAATGGTGTCAAAGTTCACAAAGAACCCGGAGAACAATATCGTGGGTATAGTCGTCACGGGGCCAAGGAACACCCCCGTCTCGATGTTCATCCCCGCTCCGATCAGCAGGCCCAGCGATTGTGCCACCAGCGAGTTCAAGACGCAGATGAGCACAAACATCGAGACCCGCTCCAATTCCATCGGCTGCGAGGTGAGGTAGTACACCACCAGGACGTAGACGCTGGAGAAGACGATCTGTAAATGAAGTTGAATATTATTAATATTTTCTAGTGTCTTGGTAGGTGTGTTATTACTCACCTGAAACGGCATGTCCGCTATGGTCTTGGCAAAGTAGAAGGCCTTCAGGGAGTACCAGTAGTTGAGATGCTCCCTCACGAACACTGACATTTCGGTGGGAACTGCGAATTAAAGATTCCAGATTGTTTCTAAGAGCCAAAACCTCGAAATCGATCAACTCACAGGTCAGGATGGTGGGCATCATTGCCGTGAAGGTGGTGAACAGGGAGACGAAGAAGATGCATCCCGCGTTGCTCATGATCTTGCTGGCCTCGTTGCCCACATCGTAGTAGATCATTCCGATGATCGCTCCGACGATGACGTGCGAGAAGAGCCGCATGTGGGTCAGCATTTTGTCGCGCAGGATGGTGCGGAACGAGCGTTTGAGCAGGATCCAGAATTGCGTCCAACCGCTGGTGGGGAATCCCGTCTTGTTGGGCAACGTAACGACACTCTCATGTGAATCCAGCAGCGAGGTCATGCACCCCACAACGGCGCTGGGCCCACCTGATCCCGAACCTACCGCATTGTGGGTGCCCTTCGAGGAGCTAAAGCTGCAACTGTCGTCCACTGCGGTCGTTGGCATATTGACCACGCTGCAGTCGGAGTTTTGAGACTGCTGCGTCTCCAGCTTCGGTGGTTTCAGCTCCGCGGGATCCTCAACGAGGATCGAGGATTCCAGCTGCCTGTCCTCCAACGGGGGCTTCTCATCCTCCAGGGTCAAGGTGGCTGCTGTGTTATCGGCTCCACTGCCACTTCCCTTGATTATGTCGTTGTTGCAGCTCTTCTGGGCCAGCATGACTCCGTAGTCCTTTTGTGAGTACTTCTTGCAAGCCCCACTCTTCACCGCCTCCACCAGCTTGGGAACAGCATCTCCGTACTCGCCAGAGGCCACTTCCAGGACATAGTCAGCAGGGTTATGATACGAAGGGCATTCGTAGCCCAGCGATGAGAGGTACGGCACCAGACCCCTCACTCTGCCCTCGTAGACACACTGTCCCTGGGCCAGCAAATACAGATGGTCGAACTTCTCGAAAAGACGGGCCGACGGCTGGTGGATTGTACAGACTATGGTGCGCCCTCCTCTGGCCAACGATCTCAGCAGCGATATGAGCTGGAAGCAGGTGGAGCTGTCCAGTCCAGAGGTGGGTTCGTCGAAGAACATCACGGGTGGATTGTTGACCAATTCCAGGGCAATGGACAGACGCTTCCTTTGGCCACCGGACAGATTGCAGGTCAGTGTGTTCACCGACTCCTTTAGGCCAATCGTCTCGAGGATCTCCTCGACCACCACTACCTTGGCGTAGCTGATCATGTTCTTGCCCAGCTTTAGGTTGGCGGCCACCATCATGGCCTCGCGCACAGTCAGGTTTCCGATGAGCACATCGTCCTGCATGATGTAGCAGGAGAGCTTGCGGAAGCGCCGGAGATTCCGCTCCTTGCTATTAATCAGCACTGATCCACTTAGCTGGGAGGTCCTGCAAAAGGTTAAGAGCTTGTCAGAAGTAGTTGGTATTAGTGTCTTAAAGGTTAACTCACTTGTAGCCCGCCAGGATGTTCATTAGCGTGCTCTTTCCGGCTCCGGAGGGTCCCATAATGGCCGTGATCTCGCCATTGCGGAACTTCCCCGATACGCTCTTGAGGATAGTCTTGAATCCACGCCGATGTCCGTCGGCGACCGAGTAGGAGATATCACAGAACTCGATGTCCACTGGCGGCCTTTGCGGCAGATGGGACAGAGCGATGGTGCCCTTCTTCTGGCCATTGGGACTTCCACCGCTGTTGTTGGCCACCTTGGGGGCCAAGGCATGGTTGTTGCCGCCCAAGCCGCCGTTGCAAAGGTTGTTCTGGGACCTGGAAAGAAGCAGAGAGACAGGGATTTAGTCCAGTGTCATTTCTATGGTTTCTTCAGGGAATTTCTTGATTCCTACTTGGGTCTCTTTTGCAGGGCACTGACACAACAGCCGTTCTTGGTCAGCTTGGTCTGCACCAAGGACATAGATCGCTGCTGTTCCCTGCGTCCTGCATCCTGCAGCATTTCCGCATAGGCCGCGGCATAGGCGGCGGACCTTCGGCGATTGACATCCTCCTGGGATTGTGACTGAGATGCAGCAGTCTCGAAACTGGAGTTCTGGATGCCCCCACTTTCTGCACTGACGCAGCGGGTCAGCGTCAGCTCCATAATTATTCACTACGCCCAACGCCACACTCATCAGCGGCTCATGATGCCGTTCCTAATCGACCTGAATCGTCAATCAATGGATCAATCAGCACCGTCAGCCACTTGGCTCCCCTTTCGTGCCCAGCTCAATGATTTCCTTTGACTCACACCGTCATCCGCCCACCTCCCACGTTGAAAAGGCCAAAGTTCGAACTAGCTTTTGTTTCATTCATGAAACGTCTGTCACATGCGGGTGCCCATACCTTGGGCCAAAGAGCCGAGTGCGTTTTCATTAGTGGTTGCTCGCATGCCGGGCGACCGACTTCGATTGATAAGTCCGCCGACGCCGCCGATGCAGCCGGCCATGCCAATTAACATTACATCTTTTTGGGTGCAAATTTGTTGAGCTAGTTGGTCGAAATTGATTGATTGGGAAGCCCCTCGATGTGCCAAAGTAATGAGTAGGTGGCCAGCGTGAGCGGATTAAAGGTCAGTGTAGCTAGCCCAGCTACTTATTACTGGCGTGCCTGTCGTTTCATAAATAAATTCTATTCGAATGGAATTGCCTTTAAAGATAAAGCTGCTTATAAATTCATAAAGGGGCATCATATCACGAACTCTCCTTTGTTTTCAACTCCACAAGTAGAAGTTCTCTCTACAGAGAGTTCTGCTAGTGCGGAGTCACTCATTACCCTCTGGAATCCGCCTTGCAATAATTTCTATAATTTCGTGCTACATCTCGAGGCGAGCGTAATGGCAAGGCATTAAAATAAAATTGGTGGCCAGGCGGCGGGGAAAGTCAGCTGTTGGCTGCGGGCCATGCTAAGTGAATTCAGATACAAAAATGAGAGAGTCTAGCAATAAACAATTTTGCTTTGTTTGTGCTTTTGCCATGCTTTGTTTTTGCTTTGCCTTTGCTTTGCTTTGGCCTCTTTCGAATACGATAAATACGAGTGCGTTGTATCTGTGTGAGCTCTCGTATTGCGAATCATTTCCCGCGAATATCTCGGTGCACGAGCACCGAGAGCGAGTACATTTCAAGTGCGCATGCACCCGGAGTGCATGCTAACGAACCCAACTCAACGAAGACTCGACGAAGTTTCAAGCACTTTGTCTTGCAAAATGCACTCAGAATGAACGGACGGGGGGAGGGGTGGTTTGTGGGGAGGTTTAATAAAATTCTGCGCAACTCCCGCCTGTTGTCTTCCACATTTACCCATTCAATTGGATTCAAATGGAGTCAGTCACGCAATCCCTTCCGGGTTTCTTTGATTGCTTATCAATCTAAATGCGTGGTAATTGTTGCCAGGTTCGGCGGCATCGATTGCGGCCCTTCTTAATTGATTGATGGCCGGCCATAAAGCAGCTGCTGCCGTTAACCCAGCTACTGCTCTACCTTACTTTACTTTACTTTTCCAGTTCACAGTTTCTGGCTCTGAATTGCTGAACCTTGGGCCACGGGGCCAGTTACATTGTGTTCGCACTGATTAGGCACAACCGGAAATATCAGCTTGCGTTAGATCATCCCGCTTAGCGACAATTAAGCGATTTATTAATGCCGCGGAACGGGACGGGCGGAGGCCGCTCATGGCGATTATTAAAAGTATTAATAAAAACAAGTGGTATCTTGAACAGCAGGAGAGTCGCTGTTGCAAAAGCTTCAATTAGGGCACATGAATTCCAGCATATTTAAGGGGAATTTCTGAAAACGAGTAAATAGCCACAGTTTATGGAAAACTAAGGGAAAACATCGTGTGATTAGGGAAATATGTATTAAAAATAATAAGCTTAAGAATTCATTATTGGATGTAAATTATTCCCAAGGGAGTGACATTACTCAGCAATTGCTTTGCATTTTTGATTCATTCTAAAGTCCACTCCGACTAAGAATCTACGGCAATTACTCAAACGTTATGCATGGGAACAATCATGTGGCTTTAATTCCTGGCCCATTCAGGCTATTAAGGAAACGCGGCAAGGCCAATCAAATATGGAAACGGATGTGTGGGCGGAAGGTGGGCGTGGGGTTGGGTGTGCGGCTTCCTAGTGGAAGGAGGACCACCACTGAGCGTGGGAGAAGGTCCTGTCCAGGACCGCTGCCGGTTTTTTTTTGTTCTTTCTGTGCCCTCGAAGCGGGGGAGAAGGTCAACATGCCTCGAGTGTGTTGGCTGGCTGACTTTTGTGGTCGTCGAATCGCCTCAAGGATGCACAGGTTGTCATTCGACAGGGGAAAACTTTGGAATGGCGAGGCGCCTCAAAGTCTGACACTGCACACACTGGCTTTTATCGTTGCTGAGTTTGCGAGTTTGCGGCAACTTCACATTACATAACCGACCGGCGTGCACGGCGCGTTTACTAGTTCACTTGCCAAAAACGAAAATCACTCGTAAAAAGCGGCCACGTGGAGGACCACGGGTAGTCCTCAGCTCATCCCTCTGTTCTTTATTGTGGGAGCACTTGTCTAATAAGCACATAAATATTTAAGGCCGAAAACCAAACTGACGGAGTGCCACACACGGACGCGATGTTGCCGCAGGACTAAAAAGCCGAACGGAGTCCAACTGCTGACTGCGGCACGACTTTGGACAGCTTGGCGGCTTGTTCGATTTTTCCAGGCACGCGGCGCCGCGAGTTCCTCGACTGTCCTCCTGCCCCATGAAGGGGTATATCGACTTAACTAAGAAGTTTGGTAAGAAATGGTGTTTCAGGATTTGTTACCAACTAGCCCTAACAAAAATCTATGCAATTTTATACATTTTTTTTTTCTTTTTGAATTACAAGATATGCATAGTATATACCATAATGATATATATTGAATATTATGATATATATCTAGGAAGTAATGGCTATAATGACTTTAAGGGAATAGCAGATCTGAGGACAAGGGAAGCCCCCATTCGGTGTTGTTCACAGGACCCTCAGGACCCCTTTTGTCTGCCCGCCTTGTATTGTTTTGCTTGGTCTTATGGCTTTTACGGCTTTTGCCTTTTGGCGGCGTTTCATTCACTGTTACATGTTCTTTCTCTGGTTCCCTCTCGGCACACATGTGCGTTTGTTTGTGGCTTATTATTTATGGCAGTGCCGACAGTGGGAGAGGTGGTGGACCGGGTCGAAAGGACACGTAGGATACGTTGGCATTTAAGGCGCTCTTTATGGCTGCTTTCCTGTTCGCTTCCCATCGAATCCTTATACCTGGGGCCCAACATGGTGGCTGTTCCCTCGCAGCATTCAGAGGCTGTCCTCGAAAAGGCCCCGTCTGGCCGCAAGTTTAATTACATTGGTACCTGCATTGATTGGCTCGTGGGCGGGTTCATTTACCAATAGATTTTCCATTTGCATTTTAATTAAGTCACTATTAGACTAGGAGAGAAAGTTCAAGGCCGTTAAAGGCCTTCAGTTTCCCAGTTCAGTTCTAATGTAACTTAAGACCCAAAGTCTTTGGTTCTTGAGCTGCAGCTTGCCTCGCCAATACACTTTAAAATTATTTTTACAACTGTGCATAATTCAGGAGGGGGCGTGGTTGGCACCATTTTCAGCCGACACGCGATTTGTGAGACGGAGTCGAGCCATCGATTTTCCAGGGCATTTGCTCCTCCCGCCTTTCCTTTCCTCTTCCGACACACCTCAAATGTCCTGGCAGGTGGCATGTTCCGAAACGGAAGGAAGATACGCGCATTACAGATGCGTGCTAATTTTGACTCAGCGGCCTTATTAATAACTCCCCACGGATACCCACTCTTCAGTCACTGCTTTGATTTTTATAATGGCTTTTCGCGGGGAGGTGTTAAAAATAGAAGTGTCACCTCAGCGGAAAAGTGACTTGTGACAGTGCGATTAGTTAGCTGATACTCGACCACCTTTCCTCCTGCCCACTCGCTTTCCCAGGAAGGCCTGTGTCCTTGGCTTCCACTAGCGGAAATTGCAGAGTGGCCGCAGGAGCGAGTGCAACACTAAACCGCAGTTCAGGGTCAGGGGACATAATTCAATTCATTCCCGCTTATAATCCCCGCAGCTGAAGCGACAGTTCCCTGGGTAACCCAAGCCCCTCCTATTCCAGCCTAATCCTGCCTAATGCAATTATCGTAGGGTGCACAGGGAGAATTAAGTATCCATTTCGAGGACTTTCTTTCGATATCAGAGGGATGGTATACAAAATAAATTAAATGGTATTCTTACCCGTGGCTGTTCTGCTTGAGGTCGTTGGTCAACTTCAGTTGGCTGAGGAGCGGCACCGGCTCCTGTCTGGGATTGGGATTCGGGTTGCTGGTGCCCGTAGAGAGCGTGGATAGGGACATGTTATCGGTTGTGTAGAGCACCGCGTTGGGTGCCGTCGTGGCCGCCGAATCGGAGACTTTGTTGGGGCTCTTAGCTGCCGGCAGTATGACGGCGTGGGAGGAGCACTTGTCCACCAGTGGGACACTGGAGGCCTGCAGCTCGTTCATGGCTCTAGTTTGTGGGGTTTCCTTTGAGAATCCGTTTAGTTCTTGGCGCTCTTGCTACTGGCATAAGGCGTCAGCATTTGGCTCAATTGATTTGCTATTTGCTTGGCTTTTCAGCTTGGCTTGTGATGTGTGTTTGTGGCCTCGGCGAATGCTCCGAATTAATTGAATACACTGAGGATTGGCATCTGCATTGGAAGTACGTGAATAATATTGGTTGTTCCTCTCAGTTCTCAGCTCTCAGCTCAGCTCTGCAAGGAGATGGAAATGGAAAAGCGATGCTAAATCAAGAATAATTTAAGTGGAGGCAACACCTCCATTGATTTGACAAGCTCACACAGATACTCGTACACTGGCCCACACATTCGAGGCTCTTAAGCACTCTATCCACACTTGGCATATTACATCACAGCCCAGGAAGTGCCACCACCCACCGCCCCCGATTCCAAAGGCCTCCGGCTCGGAGGTTGCTCAATGGCAGCTAGCAGCATGAATTTCTAATTACTGAACAATGCTCGGAGACCCAGACCCAGACACAGATACATTTTCAAATACAGACGCATGCGAGCAACGACGACACCGTCAAGAACACCCGATAAACGCTGAATTCAATGCCAGGCACTCGAGGGCTCAGAGAATGGGCTTCATAAACAGCTGTCAGTAGGTGTCTGACCAAGAACCACTGACCAGTGCACCAGCACCCGCACCCGTATGGGGGATTCCAGATCATGGAGCTCGTAACACTGCATCGGGACTTGCGGGCTGGGTTTGCCTGCACTGGGAACCAATTTTGCAGGTGGCCGTCTGATAAGATTTGTACGTTAACCGTTTAACGATGAGAATTCCGACTTGCCCGTACACTGCGAGGAAATGCTCCTCCATAAACTTTAATATAGATAACGGGCAAGAATTAATATTTTTATAAACACTAAAATCATTTAATTTACTATTTAAAAGTCTATTTAGATAGCTTGTTTATCTACAGCGCATGAAAATAAATATAACTTGAAAGATAGTTTCTCCCGTCAGAACTTTAAGAACCATCAGATGTTTATAATAACCGATTAAGTTCGCTTGCTTATTGGCTTAATTCTGTGTAAAAGCATAGGAAATAGTTTTCGCACTTTAATAAACTGAGTACATAAACATTTAATAAGGATGTTTTGTTATCTTTAATGCTCAGATATCTTGTTTATTTACAGGGCATGATAAATAGGTTTTCTGCGGCCTTTGTTTATCCTATCAATACTTTGTTCAAGTTTAGGAATCGGGTTTTTCCAGTGTACGAGACTATTTATTACAGATTTGTTTGCAGTTCGAATCGCGATTAGATGGGCGGTCCGATAGGCTTCCTGCTACTGGGCGCGGGCTTCCTTTTCGCTAATCGAAAGGCCTAAGATGTAAGGCGCGTAATCGCGCACACCGCGGGTTAGAGTTATATGGCCCACCCATTGGAACCAGCCGCCAGCTGTTGTCGGCCATCGACTTGTTATCTTGGAACGGCCACATACACCGGCACTCGAAACTGGCCACGCACAGCTGCGGATTGTCTAATCTGGAAATCAATCCGTCGGATGTCGGGAATTTTGAATTGTTGTTCTCCGAATTCGGCACTTCTCTCGCGGCTTTTGTGGGTGGATGACCTGAGATGAGGTCCTACCCTAACCGCAATTAAAGTAGGTCAGTCTGAGCTCCCCTCTCTATGCTCTGACCCCAGCGAATCTCTCTGGCCTGATCTGGTTTTCAATAATTCGGGTGGCGTGAACGGCGGAAGAATCAACCTGCCGGGTTTCGGATGTGTCATTCGCTATTAACAAATGGCGCGGCCAGCAACGGCCAGCAACGGGCACAAACATTTGAAAACACAGCCACTGCCGGAGAACATTGCAAATTTATTCTTTCTTGGGGAAGAGAGAGCGCAGGCGCTCTTCTGAGATACAAAGGCAGGAAAACATTAAAGATACATATGGGTCTACCTAAGGGGAGGTACACATTACTCCGGCTGCGGAGTTCATCGGGGTGGTGGATTCGTGGAGCTGCGACTGCAGAGTGCAGGAAAAGCGGAGAACGACGCAATTACCTCGCTCGCATTAAACCTAAACTCGTGCTCACCTTTGGATTTCGGTTGGGATGAGGGTTTTTTCCGAGAAGAGCAAAACACAAACGGCATAAAACGTGTTTTTGGTTTACTAGCATTATGTCTTTTTGGCCGCTGCCAGAATAGATGCTTTACCGTCCCGCTCCCTGGCAAATTAGATACTTTTTTAGACTCGAACGCTCAGATACTCAGCTACTCAGAGACTCGTGCTCGCGCCTTCTTTGTTATTTTTTGTTATGGTTGAGGCAGCCAGCAAACAAACAAACAACGCCAGCTATTCAAATGCGCCACAAGGGCGAGGGCGACGGCTTTGGCGATTCCACGGGAGAGAACCGAAACCCCAGATGGTGGCGCGTACTCCAGGAATACGCTAAAGTGTATCTTGTTCAGGGGCGAAACGTGTTTTTATTCAGCGCGATCCGATCCGTTCCGATTGGACTCGATTCCTGCCCAAAAATCCCGTTCGACCGCAGGAGGCAACAACATTCAGGCAGCGCGAACGACGAAGAACTGAGCGGAAACTGAACTGAAACTGAAACTGAGGGAGCTGCTGCGGCGTCTGCTTAGCTACCAGCTGCCAGCTGAGAGCGCTTTCGCTCCCGCCTCTGGTACTCCACTGCTTGGGTACCTGTATCTGTGCGCGCCAGATCTGCCACTCGGATACTGGGGGTACCAAGATATCTTATATCCAATTTAGGTACTCTACTGATTTCTCTGAAATATAACTTTTATTTCACTCATTAGGTACATCAATATATTAGTTTTAGGAACAGCGTTTTACCGCCTCACAAGTAGTAGTAAGTTTTTAGAATTGGAAATTTGAAAATTGTGTTGGTACTTCCGATTACCAAAATAGGTACACAGAAAAGTGTACCCTTCCCAACACTCTCAAACTATTTGGGTTTCGTCAATGGGGATGTCTTCGCTCTCTCGCTTTGTCCGACGTTCAATTCAAATGCTGGCATACACCTAAATTAACCCGAGTGTGTGCCTGTGTGTGGGTGAGCAGTAGTGCGCATGGCTTGGATGTGTGCGTTGGGTTTCGCTGCTCAGAAAACAGCGAAAACAGCTGACTGTAAACACACACAAAGAGCGGCGGCCCAGTGGGAAATCCAGTACGATTTGGGTTCAGCTGCACTTGGATTTGATGGAGCGAAACTCCCCGGAGAGGCAGAGTGGCGAAGAGAGCGGGAGTACACAGCGAAAAAAGTGGTCATTAAATTGGGCAATTTCCGTTTTATGGAGATAGAATTGAAAGTACCAAAGGCCAGATGGAAATAATTGCAAGTATCTCAAGCTGACCTTAGATCAACCACTTAATCTAGTAAGTAGGATTTCTAGTACGACTTCATAGATCAATTCAAATATTTCTCTCTGTGTAATGAGTAGATATCCCTGAAGAGAAGCCATGTTTTGCCAATCACTTACATTGTTAGTCCGAATGATAGCGAACTTTGAACCTCACGATCGCAGAACAAAGCGCTGGAACCTAACAAAAACAATTGCGATTTCTTGGCAGAGTTGTGGAGAGGGTGAGCGGGCAGGGGGGCTGATATCAGCATGAGTAATCCGCCCCTCCCTTGTCTCCTTGCCAACTGCATATCTCGAACAAAGCCAAAACGTGAGCCGCCGCTGCCTCGGCCGCCTTACTCCCCGAGTCTCTGTCACCGACAACTTAAGGGGCCTCGGGAAAACTGCGCAGTGGGGGGACTTCTAATCGCGGCGACCTTAATAATAGTTTATTCCCTATCAGCCGCAAATTGTTTTTAGCTGCTATTTAAATTGAGTGCCAGCACTGGCAGAAGCCATGTAATAGCAACAACAACAGCAACCTCTGGGACGATCGAATTGGCCGGAATGGAGGTGCCAATGAACGATAGCCAGACCCGATTTCGGTTTCGTTTCAAAGGGAATGCCCTGTTAGGCCTGTGTACCATCGAGTGTTATCAGCTCGGGCGGGATTGCCTTTCTTGCAGCTCCAGGTGCAGCTGCACTTTTCCTTATTGAGAATCTGGCAGGTACACTGGGCAATTAAGCCAAGTTAGGTGCAAAATGCAGCTCGTTCCGAGTACTTTCAGGTGTTTTCCTCGCTGAAAGTGCGGAATGGCAGCCAAAACTGCTTCTTGATGGCTTTCCAAAGCAACTGCTAACTGCCGTTGCATAACCGAGTGCAAGTTAACTGGATTGGGATCCAGTCGACGTCAGTGGGTTGACTACGTGCCAGGCAAAGTCTCGTTTAAGAATTTTCTGGGTGACTAATATTTGAATTCAGCCAGCCGTACCGGAAAAAGCTCTCCCACTCGAAAGCTTGCTCTGTGCTGAGCTTTTCAACCGAAAGCTTCAAATACATTTGGAGTTCGAAAAAGCTCTTTGTGAGCAGTGCTGCCCATAGGGCGGTCAATTCGAATTTTGAGTGGGAAAAGTTAAAAACGAAATTCTAGTAAATAATTTTCCCAAACTTAAGTTATAACATTTAAAGTAGTTCTTTTTAGTTTATTTGGTCTCGAATTCGGTTAGTTTAGCATTACAATTAGTAGAGTTTATGGTACAGATAGCAGCTAGACGTATATTAAAAGTCAGATTCCCGGGGATTGGTGCGTCGGGAACAAGCTCCCTCCTCTTCCTCTACTCCTCTTAGTTTCACTGGCCAACGTGGTTGCTGTCAAATCGCCAGCGGATCTGGAGCAATCCTCAGGTGGTCTGGCGGATCTTGATGCTGTCCCGATCCCGCTCCTGCTCGTCGCTGTCGCAGTCGCCGCTCTCGGCCGTGTCCTCGTCCTCGCCCGCGGAGCTATCCTTGGCGAACAGGTGCCTTAGGCAGCTCCGCTTCACGTATAAAAAAGCGCAGAGGGCGCAGAGCAGGAAGATCACGCCCACGGAACTGCCGATGATTAGGGCCCGGACCTTCCGTTGGGAGGGCACGTCGATGAGGAGCTCGTGGCTGGGCACCGACTGGGTGGTGGTGCCCACGGCCAGGACCTGCACCTTGAACAGGGTGTCCTCCTTGAGGTGTCGCAGCTGGTAGTAGTTGTCGAAGGTCTCCGCGTGGCCGATGAGGAAGTGCTCTGGCTCCTTCCACCAACGAACGGCGTACAACCGCAGGCCATCAAGTCCCTGGGTGGGATGCTCCCAGTGGAGGAGCCAGCCCTGTTGGTTGCTAATGGCAGTGAGGTTCCAGGGAGCTCCCAGTCCCCCGGCAGGAGCAGTGACCTGGCCCAGGTCATGTTGCAGCTGCTGGGCATCGAAGTCGTCCGCTCGGATCGGAGAGGCTGCAAGGATACGTGCTGTTAATCTTGGAAAACTAGTGCTATGTGCAAGTCGTACGCAGCGTTTGGAAGCGGAACTGCTTGCTGAACATCCCGTCTCCGTACTTGTCCTGGCTGAGCACCATGAACTCGTATTCCTTTCCTGGCTGCAGGTGCTGCACCGTGGCCTCCATAACCTTCTTGTCCATCACGCGAAGGGTTCGCCACTCGGGAGCTTCCATAAGTCGGTACCAGACCGTGTACTCCAAATGTGGCCGTAGGTATCCTGGAGAAGATCATTGAAAGTTCATATTTTTAAGGGTCATTGGGTTAAATTGAAGTTTTCGAGTTGAATTTCCTGAATCGGGGAATCCCTTGAACCTTAAACTTCCTTTCAACGAAACACCATCATACTACTCCCATTTGAGTTCGGCGAGCAGCATCTGGCCTCCGTCCATTTCCACACCCAATTACACCCATTTTCTCACCTGGCTGCCAGCGTATGGTGATGCAGGTCTCCGTGCTGTTGGCCGTGAGGTTGTACGGCGCCCGGGGAGCGATGTTCTCAATCATAAGCTCGGCCTCCGCCGTAATGGTGGCGGCCTCATTGGTGGCCGAGCACTCGTATATTCCACGGTCCCCTTCCACCAGGCCTGTGATGGTCAGGTTGCCGCCGCTGAGACTGAACCTGTCCGCCGGCAGTGGTTCTCCGTCTTTCTGCAAATTAGTCGGGTGCGGAACGAGAGTCAGAGAACCGGAGTCAAAATCGGAGATGCACAGAAAGAAAAGGTTTGAAATTTTATCAATTTCGATACTAAAAAGTGTCTGCCTATTTCTTGCTTTAGGTTGATGCTTTTATCTGTGATAATCTACCACTTTGAATGGAAAAATTCGCATAATTAGGGTATCAGAAAGATAATCTATCATGGTTCTACCCTCTTTTTCTGGCAGTGCATGGACAGGTAGAGCTGGCAGCATGCATAATTAAAAATGCAATCAAGTGAAACTGCACGCGCTCCCCTTTTGGCATTACCATTTTCCATTTTCCATCTGCCTTTCTCCATTTTAGGCTGTGCAAAATGACAATACGGACTCACCCTGCTCCAGACAATGGAGGGCCGATTGTTTCCGTCCCGGTCGATGGCTTCGCAGGGCAGCTCGGCTGCCTCGCCCAGCTTCTGGATGTAGATGGCCTTGGGCGTGACGCTGAAGATGGGCGGACGGAGCACAATCACGCTGATGACCGGCGATGGTCCGTCCGTGCCGAGGTCGTTGTAGGGCGTGCAGGTGTAGCTGCCGGCGTGGTTCTCGTCCACCTTGGCGAAGAACAGGCTGCCGTTCATCTTATAGAACACCCCAGGCACGTTGTACGAGTCGAAGAGGAGGCCGTCCTTCTCCCAGCGCAGGTTCTTCAGCGGCGGATTCGCCCGGAAGTGGCAGTCGAGGACGGCGGGCTGGCCGTACGGCAGGTAAACCTCCGGCGGGGCGTAAATCACCTTGGCCTTATCTGAAAAAGTGCAGAGGATATAATTATTATAAGTTTATTTTTGATTGTTCCCAGAACACCATGAGCTTCTGATGGAGATCATAGATTGACCCAACCCACTCACATTGTATGTTGAGAAAGGCCTTGGCCGTCTGCAGTTCGCCCTCACTGTTGCGCACCTTGCACTCGTACTCGCCCAGGTCGCTCATCATGGTGGGATCGATGCTGAGACTGCCGTCGGGACCCATATAGGATCTCCGCACCAGATCCTGGACCTCCTGCAGCAGCACCCCATCTTTGTACCAGGAGGCCTGCGAGTTGTCCGGATACTTCATCACGCAGTGGAAGAAGGCGGTCTGGCCCTCCTGGATCGTTTGATTGACCGGCGGGATTCGGATGAGAGAGCCACCCTGGACCGCCAGGTGGTAGGCCGTTCCATTGTTGCGAACCGAGGGCGAGCGATTGGGGAAGCTTACTTGGCAGTGGTACCAGCCCTGGTCCGATTCCCGGATGGCGGTCAGGTTGACGGAGGCCCTTCCAAACTCCGGATGGTTTTCCACCAGGTGCAGACGTCCGTTGAAGAGCTCGTTGGTGGAAGTCTCCTGCTCATACCAGGTGAAGATTTTCTTGCTCTGTTCAGAATTTTACCTTCGATTAGTTTCTTGAGTGTTATTAATAAAATATTTAATTAAAATCACATGGAATTCCTTCTAAAGAATGGCAAATATTTAAGGGAATGCCTGGTGAACCATAAAATGACAGTGAGAATTGCAACTCTTGAGAAC